AGCACAGGAACCAGGGCTCATGACCACCAGGTCATGATTACAGAGATTACATGGCTTGTAAACATATCTGGCTGTTCAATACAGTCAAGGGACACATCTTCATAATGGGGCAAATTCTGAGAACTTTATCCTTAGGTGATCTCATTGTTGTTTGAACATTCTAGAATATACTTACACAAATCTGGGGGTTTCTAATCCATTATTCCATGTAACCTCTTAGTGCTTGTAAAAGATGAGGCAATCAGATGTGTGAAGATGCTGTCAATGTCAAATGGCAGGCTGTTTTACATAAATTACCTTTTAACAAATAGGAAGACACTCTGAAGTAAGGATAAATTCTACTAAATACAGAAGCCACTAGCAATCATTCACCATCATTTATCAGGTACACACAGCAATGGTACTATTGTTCTTTGCTGCAGCTTTGGCGATGAAACACGGTCCACCAAACTCAACAAACCCACATGGAGTTTATTGGGAAAGGGAAGGGTAGTTGTTAACTGATCGTGAGCAGAAACAGAACGAGAAAGAGAACAGGCAGGAGGTGCTTATTTATAAAGGGAACAGGAATGGTTTATAATGAGTCTCAGCAGTGGGGGCACTTGAAACTGGAGTCATGGAGCTGCCATTGGCCCAGCTTGGTGCGGCCCCAGTTCCACGTGGTTTCTGCATGCAGAGTTCTTATGCAGCAACCTAAATGCATGCACAATAAAGCCCTGTGACCTTTGACAACTGTCAGTGAGGAGTGATCACTTGTCAAAGATGGATCCTGGGGTGAGGGAAAGGAGCCTGGAGAAGAGCCATCCCGGGGCAGGGAGAGAGCCTGAGGATTAGAGAGGCCCTGTGACCAGGAAAGGTTCTCTACGGAGATGGCACAGGCCCAGGAGAGGGCTGGCCCAGAGTGACAGGCAAGTGCTGAGGAGAAACCACTGGGGTGGGAGAGAGGAGTCATGAGCCAGGTTGCCCAGGATCCAGGGAGAAAGAGAAGCCAGGATATCAACAGATACCGTTGATGTTTCCACCCCAGCCAGCATCACCACAAACATGAGTGTAATGAGCATGTGGTGTTATAAGGTCATGAAAGGCATGTCATCATGAGACAGGAGAAAAGTTTCAACTCCATTAAAGTATTATGAGACTACCATTCTAGGCGGGGGGGCTTCCATATACCTGAACATCCTTATGTGATGCATTATTGGACTCTGATTCCTTCGTTATTCTAGATAGACCCAGAATCTTGCTGCAGTGCTTGGTAAATTGGGAAAGATCCCTAGACACTATCATTTCATCATTAATTTCATTCATTGGAAGAAGAGGGTCAGCAGGGTTCTCCTCCATAGGACTTGAGAGCAATCTCTGACCCGAAAACTGGGTTTTCTCTTAATAGTGAAGCTTGCCCCATAGGGTGAAGTTCTTAGTTCTGGACAGAAGATGGTATCCCTTTTATTGCACAGACAAAACGAGACTGCAAGAGGATGTATAGAAGCCCTGCAGCCTACCTGCAGAGGGGCGCTGGTAAGCATCAGCAGGTATGTGGTAATTTACATGAGCACTTACTTCTGTGTGGCAGGGCCTTGAAGTTTCTGGCCATGAACACAGGCAAGGCTCTAAAAAACAAGGCATGCTGGTTTCCTACAAGATGAAGTAAATCTGTCAGAAAGCTTTGGGTGTGGAGAATGGTGTGTGTCACTGCAGTGTCCCTGTGGTGGTGGTGGGGAGGGCAGTCTGTATGGCAGAGAATAGGGCTCTGGGGCAAAAAAAAGGGGGGGGGAATCTGAATAATTACCCTGTCGTGACCACCTTTCTGACACTGGCCCCAGATTTGCAGTCCTAGTAAGAATGTTGGAATGGTTAGGAATCTAACTATAGGACCCATTGGTCAGGACCTTCCCCATCATTCAATCAGAGTCTTCTGTGCTTTGGCCAGTATCTTTACAAGTCTCTGTTTTGCCCTTGACCTTGGCCTATTTGTACGTTGTAACAAACTTTCAGCTCAAGAACAAAAGTGACTACAAAACTAACATTTCAAATTTTTGATGGGACAAGGACTACTGTAGCAATAGAAGGAAGTAGCAGAAACCAAGATTCTTTTCCTGTCCTGGCCGCCATCTGTCCCCATTGCCCAGACCAATCGCATCAGTAACTCACAGGTGCAAGTAAACCCATACCCCAGCCTCAGAACCCCACCCCCTTCTCTTGAAAGGCACCAAAAGCTGCTCAGTAACCCACTCCCACCCTTCCCTGAACCCATTTTCCCACCTGAAGTATGCATAAAGGGGGGGAGGGCAGGGAGGTCTAGGCACTGAGTTACTTGGTAAAAACCCTGGAACTAAGGACAGAATTGGGATAGAATCCCCTGTCTTGTGTACTGACTTGGGCTGGCTTTTGAGGGGTTGAGGCCTGGAGACACAGAAATGATATTCTTGAGGTTCCCACAGAAGGATCAGATGTTACTTCTCACTGGTCAATCTAATTCTCATCACTAGGCGAAGATGTAAAACTCATTTTATTTGTGCTCTAACATGGTGGAGAAAAGGAGTCATCAACTAAGTCCCATCAGAAAGTATCCCATGCTGCTGAGGAGGTGTCAAAAGTGGGGTGTCTCTCCCTTCATTCATCAACCATGCTGAAGTGTCCAATCTTTGTGCCTTCCATTTCGTCAAACTCCTGGGACTCCAGTCCTTTCAGAGATACAACAGAGCAGGCAGGAAGAATGACCCCGACACATATCAGGGGCCCATGGGTGCATGCATCTACAAGTGTGTTTGTGATGTCTCTGCACAGGAGGCTGTAACCCCAGATAAGAAACTTTTCTCGGTGAGTAGGCCATAATTTAGGAACAGATAAACATGGCAAGTGTTTCATGAAGAAGATGGAACATCTGGGCAGGGTGGCAGCACAAAACAAGTTTCATAGACGGGCCTGTCCATACTGGCTAGGGACACACAGAACCATTTACACTTGCTACGCCTAGGTGTCTATTTTGCTCACAGGTTCTAAGGACTGGAATATAGACATTTTGGAGCCATTGTTCTGCCTCAACTCACATTGCAGAAGATATAGGAGAGAACGCACACCAGGAGAGGACACCAGGAGCTTGTGAATACACCTGCTGTGATGTGAGCTGGAGTCCCTCAGAGAGAAATATCCTAACCCCTACTTCAATTGACCCAATGCCCAACCCTGCGGCCCTGTAGCCAACACTGGCCAAGTATATCGTAGGTCAAAGGTTTGACTACCATTTTAATCAAGTTTATCCATAGTGGATTCCTGGGACCCACAGCTGCTGGGTAATAAGAGCCATGAGATCAGCACAGACCAATAGCCCAGTGGAAATAAATTCTAGGTACATGTCAGATGATAGGCATGACTCATTTGTGAGACATCACACATACACACACACTCTCTCTCTCTCGTTTATGATTCTGAAGCTCAGAAGGATACAATACAAATATAAAGGACTTAGTATGTAAATAATATTTTAAATTCACCTTTAAATACAAAAGGTGACAAAGATTTTAATTTATTAAGGAATAAAAGATATTCAAAGAAAAAAACTGGCTCTTTAGTCATCTTTTTGTTTGTTTGTTTTTGTTTTGTTTTGTTTCCCCAGAGTCCAATCAATACTGCAACAATATGGCTTTCAAAGTGCAAACTGACTTCCCTTGACTTTTCCATGTTACAGGCCAGCATTTTGTTTTGATTCCTGGTTACAGAGGGCCAGGAAGTCAGAATATATTAAGAGGCTGAGGTAGAACAACTTCCTCCACTGAGCCATGGGTTAGTCCCAGAGTTTTGCCCCATGGAACTTCCAGAGACATCACTACTTGTGACTTCAAACTCTGCTATAGAGCTAGAGTAATGAAAAATGCTTAGCATTGGCACAAAAACAAACAGGTGGACCAATCGAATCAAATGGAAGACCCTGGTATTAATCTACACATCTTCATCTTCGAACACCTGATTTTTGACAAAGAAGCTAAAACTATACAATGGAAAAGGAAAGCATTTCAATATTTAATTTTTTAAAATAGTGGTAAAATATATATGACACAAAATTTATCATCTGACCTATAGTTCAGCAGTGTCAAGGAAAGTAACATTGTTAACTTCTTCGTGTCACAAAACTAGAATTCTTTGGTTTTTGTTTTGTTTTGTTTTGTTTTTTAAGATTTGTTATTTTCCGGTTATAAGTGTTTTGCCTGTGTGTGTGTGTGTGTGTGTGTGTGTGTGTGTGTGCGCGCGCGCAACACATAAATATCTGGTGCCTACAGAAGCCAGAAGAGGGTGTTGGCTTCCCTGGGCCTGGAGTTCAGATGGTTTTGTGAGCTGCCATGTGAGTCCTGGGAATAAAACTTAGGCCCTCTCAAAGAGAAGGAAATGTTCTTAACAATTGAACCATCTCTCCAGCCCCAACATGATTACTTTCTGCCGAGGACTTCTACCTCTTGCCATCATCCATGTTTATCCACTTCTATCTTTATCTCCCCCTTCTTCCATTCCCTCTTTTCTCTGTTGCATTCTTCTCACATATAGATTCACACACACACGAGTGTGTGCACACAGATAACATTCAAACAACACAGTTCACTTTTGTCTCTTGCTTTCTCTTTCTGGCCATTTCTCACATTGACAGAAGAAACACAAGTCCCCAAATTCACAAATCATCCCAGGGATGGGTTCCTCCTCCTGATATGGTGACATCCCAACTGGAACTCTTAGACAGGAAGGGGCTTCAGGTCCAGTGAGGCATCTAAAAGAAAGCTTTTGAACAATACCCACCAGGTTCAGATCTCTTCAAGGGGTTATTATCCAATCACAATATATTTCTCCTTCAACTGGCAATGGGGAACAAAAGTAGTCCACACTCCAGTGGAGCCTCAAGTTGGTACATCAAGATGGTGAGGGTCCATCTTTGGTATGAGGACACAGTCCATATTTCACCCCTTCCCAATATGATGAAACAAATGAAAAAGAAAAGGAGGCACACATGAGGGAAGTGTTGGTGACAGCCTTGAAGGATGTTGCTCTTTTATCACAGAGAAAGGCAAACCCAGAAGCGGGAGGGTTGCTCCAAGACACCCTTAGATATCTTTACATTCTTTGTTCATCAGGGTGAACTGTCCATTCCAGGGAAGCGCTCCAACCAAAAAGCTGCAATTTGCTTTCTGAAAAAGACAGCAGCAATGAACATCAGTAGCATGTCAAAAAGAGAATAACTACCCTGTTTTTTAGGCATAAGCCTAGAAATATGCTGGAATACAGGTCACCAACTTTCTTAAAACTCCAAGGTACCAAGCAGAAAATGTAAACTTAAAATCCCAATCTGCCAAACAACAGTGAATGACGAATCAGGTACATGAGATAACATTGGAACATGCTCGGAGCTGACATGTATGTCTGAATGAGTACCTACTATTGTCTGGAGATGATATCCCTTTTTAAAGTTGAGTCAAGTTTGACTTCAGTCAAACACAATGGGACCACTCTGTTCATTTTCCTGGCAATGTTTTGTTCAATATATACAGCAGAGGCTCTCAAAATGTCACCTGGAAACTTGCTCAGAATGAAAATTCCTACTGAATCAGAAACTACAAATGGGACTTAGCCATCTGCAGCTGGAGCCTCCGGTGATGTTGGTGTCATTCATGTAGAAGAACCATCCTTGTAAAGAAAGGAAAGAAAATACCTCTACAGAACCAGGCCCTTTACCAACCTCAACTTTCCTAGGGAATGAATAGTCTAAGGCTCCCTACTAACTTGGAGATCAAGAAACACAGGCTCTGGCCAGAAGCCTTATAACCAAGCCAATCATGGCATAGGCTACTCCTTATTATCCTTCACAGAAGCCCTTGCTTGAGCCCATCTTTTATCAATTAAAAGCCCAGGAAGCTATAAGCTCCCTGGGAAGCTCTCGGCTGATACTCAAATAATAATTGAAAAACGAATACTGTAGCTTCCTCATCTACAAGGTAACCCAAGTCTAAGATGGGCTATGCTTGAAAGGTGAGATGTTGTCTGGTCTAGAGATTGCCTAATCTCCAGTACCTGTAGATGAATAGTCCCTGTAATCTATAAATTTAGAAGGGTGCACCAACAGACTTCTTTTGTGCCTACACAGGCATGAGTAATTAACCTCACCAGCTGAGAAAGCTAGTCTCAGTCCAAAAGCACAGACTTTCAGTGACCATGTCAATAGTTTCTCCTTCATCAAAAGTCCAGAATTTATGGGAGCCTTGGAGTTGGAGTGCCTTTGATGATTTCCTGCATCTTCTACTGTGGGGACAGCAAGGCAGGCCATATGGGGACTCCAAATAAGAAGCAATCCAGACCTCCTAGTGTCCGGGCACCCTAAGATTTTCCAAGTGCCTGGAAGCCTTGATAACCCTAGATGGGATTTCAAATCACTTAGGGTCATCATTCATCACTCACCTTTTCCAGTTTGGAGTTTTTTTGAGTGATGCAATTTTCAGTATGGTTTAAAGGCTTTTTGCAATTGCTGCGGGAGATCTGAACATCAATTTGGTATTCCATTTGGTCTGTGATCTGCCGATGAACAATGGTGCAATCTTAATTGAAAATGTTTTGGTGTAACTCCCAAATGCTTTGGCAAACACACAAATCCTTCTCACTTATGTATAGATCTCAGTAAGGTTGAATTTGATTTTTGCAGAGCTCTAAAGATTAACAAAAGTGACTCGACTATGTCAGAGGGATGAAGCTAACCACAGATCATCATCACAGCAGAGCTACTCACTGGGTTTGGGAGTTAGTGGTGGACTTAGGGAAAGCTGAGAATACTGTGGAATAGATCATCCTATATTCCTCATCCATAAAATTGAAATCAGAAATACTCTAAAATATGAAACTTTTAGAGCATCTAACTTTTAGAGTATAAAATTCTGCATCTGACCTTATGCCACAGGTTATAGTCAAGACACAAGCACACCCTCTAAATGTTTATTTTATGCCCATATATTTGCATGGCTCACTGCCTGGATCAGAGATGCTTCTGTTTCCAGAGACCCATACCGGTCAAAGTTCTGAGAATAATTGATTCTTCAGTGATCATCCCTAAACAGGACATCTACATCACCCCTGAAGAAACTTGGGGAACCTTGTAGAAGAAAGCACAGAAAGACTGTGAAAGCCAGGGGATAAGGAGGGATGCTGTGAGGTGTTGTCTTCTGGATGTGACACAGCCACTATGCTCTTGAACCCACAGCAGCAATAGCTACCCATACAGAACCAACACAAGACTAAGTCTGTCACCATTCCATCACGAAGAGGAGGAGCTCATGAAGCCCCATCCCTCCCTGGAGAGCTATGGGCAATTAATGGCTGCTGGAAGAGGGAAATCATATTTCTCAGTGGTATAGCCTCTGTTAAGTTGCCCTTGCCTCAATAAATAACTCTACACCCATGTTTATGCAGTAGGAAACAAAAACCAAAAAGAGATGAAGTTAGGAGGGGTACTTGGGAGGGAGGGGCTAAAATAATAATAGGGGATATGATCAAAGTACATTATGTATGCATGTGAGGTTATAAAACAATAAACATGTAATTGCCTTTCAGCTATGTGCATCAGATGTACATGGATCATGACGGAATTTTGTCTTTAGATTTGGAACCTATCTCTAAATCATCTCCTTGTGCATATTCAAATATTACAGAATCCAAAATGACTCGAAACTCATCCTGCCCTCAGCATTTTGGGTAGGAGCCTCTCCTATAATGGTTTTTGCAGACTTCCATAGTGCTGGCTGTAATTTTAAAGTCTCTACAAGAGGAGGAAGAACTCGGTGAATCTTCACCCCTCCAGAGTAAGACTGCCACTCCAAGTACACAAAAAGCACAAAAAGATTCAGTGTCTATCTAGCAGTTGATCCATATTTCTAAAGGAAGACTCTCAGCATTGGGCTCATGTCACCTACCCACCAGGCTCACTAATCTGCCATCTCACTAAGCCAGCCAGGAAAGGTGAGGCCTTTCTGCTTGAGGCTACAAAGAAGGGAGAACATACACCAGGAGGTTCAACCATGCTATCATGTGGATCTCCTAACTGTATCCCCACAAGCTTTTTCTATAAATAAGTTAATCGGGATGTTATTTTTAAAATTCAAATTTGGGAGCTAGGGACATAGCACTGTAAGAGAAGGCATGGGGAGGTCATCATGAAAATGCTTGGTTCAACCACCAATGAAATATCACCAGTAACAACAACAAAGGAAAATACAACCTTGCAACTCAAATTTGATCACTTCCCTTAAGGCCATGCTGGCAGCCTTACAGAAGGAACCTAATACGCCTGGCTGCACTTTTATACCCTTGCATCCCTGGTCCTTCTTGCTGTCCTTTTGCAGCAGATGCTATCAGTATTACTCCCAAACCTAATGCCAGCTCTTCTGATCCTTGCCTAAGACTTTCTGTTTCCAGCAGAACCAAGCTCCTAGGCCAGATCTCAGCCATGGGCAGAAGTGGGCTGGTAGATAGCCAAACCACCCACAGCATGGCCCAGCTTGAGTACACTCTGTATGTCTTCCCAAGGTCAGAAAACCAACTCTATCAGTCTCATTAACTCACCCTGGGTTAGCCACTTTTGACTGTCATGTCTCCTTTCCTTTCTACCTTCCCAGTGCCACCTGGGATGGCCTCCAAAATGTACCACCTGCCCTTGAATCCTACTATGATACTCTGCTTCTGGGGAAACACACCTCTCAACAGCCTCCCCAACACCTTTAACTCCTGCTCTGACTTCAATCAGGGCTTACCTTCAAGGTCTTTCCTGAAAAAGTGACAATTCTTGCAAACACTATATATTGACATCATCTGGAAGAGTTGAACACCTACTGAGACCTGGACACCACCCAGAGCCTCATTTTACTAGTACATCTGGTCTGTTTGGTAGGGCATTTACTCATTCTACAGGTGAAAAATGTTGTCTAATGAATACTTCCTCTGACACTCTGATCCCAAATGCTGAACCACAACATAAAATACAATTTCTAATTCCTAGCTGGGGTGTTTTCTTTTCAGTTGGACTTCTAGCTCCCTATGCTCTAAAGAATGCTGTCCATTTCACCATCCCCCTTACAGGAGCTAAGACAAAAATTACTTATGAGAAATTTACTGCTAATACCTACACGTGCTACCTGAGCACAAAAGAAAGGGAACCAGAGACTGTAAAAGAGGGATTGCGAAGTATGAACAATCAATAAAGGATGCTACATCATCAGCTTCATATCCTAGAAATACAATGTTGATGACATGCTTTCCTGAGACATGGGAGGCATGATAACAGTGACAAAGCTGTTGAAAACCTCTCCAGTTCAGTCACACCACCAACCAACTGGGGCTTCAATTTTCAATCCTTGAATTGCAACATTGGGAGTAGGGGTGGGGGTGAGGCTTATACTAAAGAAAGCAATAAGAAAGAACTGCTGTATTAGGAACTCCAGGAAGCATTGTGCCCATTGAATTTCATATGAGCAGTGTTCTTTAGAGCTGGACAGTGCATGGCTTTGTGAAAAGGGACACACCTTTATGATGAAATCAGAATGTCTTCACTTCTACTAAATGTACATTGGGTTAAAACATTAACACATTGCTCAGCAGCTCGAAGCACATAGCGCTCTTGTAAAGGATCAGATTTCAGCTCCCAGAATCCTATGTGTGACTCACAACTGCCTTAACTCCAGAATTTAGGGGTTCCAATGTCTTCTTTTACCTACCATAGGCAACTCAACACTCCCAAAGCATATACATGCATGCACTTAATTAGAAATAAATTTTAAATTAAATAATACAGGACACTACAGCAATTTATTCAATAGACAGTCACATGTCTGTCTGTATAAGCCCTGATTCCCTGGTTTATGGAGCACTTGTTTAATGTAAGTGATTAGACTCTGAGCCCAGCATTTGTGGGAAGTGTCATGTGAGTATATTGCTTTTGTCACTGTAAGGATGTGCATAAGTCACACATTTAGAATTGTGCTGCTAACTTTTATTCTCATTGGTCTACTCTCTCAACCTGGCCTCCACCTGTGCCACCATATGTAAATGTCCTGCCTGAACAGAATTTTCTCACCTGAAGCTTAGCATGCAGTGTCTTGTCCGCGAGGAAGACATACTTGTCCTCACTTTCCTTGTTGTATTCTTTCATAGCAAACCACACACACTGCTTCACAATGGCATTCGAGGTATTTATGGATTCAAAGTACTTCGACACCACTTCATTCTTGGATTGATCCACACCAACTGCCAGAGCCACTGGAATGATGAGGATGAGCATGGAGAACCACAAGAGTTTTGCCATGGTCTCTCAGTCAAAAGACACAAGACCTGTGTCCTCCACGTCCTCTCGGAGCTTGAGCTGCAGTGGAGCAGCCACAGATGCCACTGTAGGTCTGTCAACCTAAATAACACAGAAAAGTTCTCTGAAGATTAATAATTGGTGGGGCCATGAGGATTGCTCAGAGGGTTGAGGCACTTGCTGCTGTATCTAAAGACAAGTTCAGCCCTGGGACCCACATGATGGAAGAAGAGAAGAAACTTCTGCAAGTTGCTCTCTAACTTCCACAAGCATGTTGGGACATATGTCTCTCACACATACACACACACACACACACACACACACACACACACACACACACACACACAAAATAAATGTTTGTAATATTGATTGTGGGGCTGGGGAGATGCCTCAGTGGGTAAAAGCACTTGTAGTGTAAACTTGAGGACGAAGGTTCAGATCCCCAGTATCCACATAGATGAAAGGTGGGTGTCATGGCCTCTTTATAAGTGCAGCATATTGGAGGCAGGACAGACAGAAAATCAAGTTAGTTAGCTAACCTAGCCAAATTCTTGAGCTCTCATTTGAACTGAGAGATCCTGTCTCAGTACATACAGTAGAGAATGACTGAGAAAATATCTGATATCAGCCTCTTGCCTCCACACATACAAGCATACAGGTGCATAAAAGTAGCCACACACACACACACACACACACACACACACACACACACACACACACACAAATATGCATATATACAAGTATGAATACCATACCCTCCTACATATTGAAAACATCCTTATTATATTCACTTGGGAGCAGCAGATCCTTGCAATGAGATAATGTGTTCCTTAAGAAACAATGAGCATATTCAAGGAGGCTGAAACAAGAAATTTTTAAAAGCAAAATGAGGAGGACTTTATCAGATTTTGGAAATGAGGCTGTAGTTAAAAGATTCAGTAATAAATATGGCATCAACCCAAGGTTAAATACACAATAGTGGCTAGATGTCCTTGCTGTGGAAGGATGAATGTTTTGGTGCAAGATTGTGGTCCTGACAGAATCTTTGAAACCCATTTTTGTTATCAGACACACAGTACAAGGTCAGCCTCCCCAACAGAGCCTCCGGCTTTATGTTTCATTTATGGATCTGGCTGAGGTTCAACAAAATGACTTCATTTCGCTTCTGATAAAGTTTGCAGTCAAGGATCTTACAAGAACCCACCTTCTCAGTATCGGTATAGCTGGATTCAAGACATTGCTCTTTGGGACACCCTTGAGAGCCACCTGTCTTCTTGTCTTAAGAAAATCTACCAGTAGCACCCAGTTAAAGGGGCGCTACAACTGGTCTTTGCCTTTTGCCTGCATCCTGAATACAATCCATTCATCTAGAGAAGCATCCCATTCATAAGACTGACATGTTTTCACATGGCCCTATACCTCCCACCACCTACTGTATCCTATAAGGGTAAAGTTATAAAAGCTAATGTGCCCAATGTTCTCTGGCCCTACTCCTCTATGACTATCCAACCTGCTCGTCCTGCAGGGCTCCTTCCTCACTCTGGCCACTCCAGCTTGTGGTTCTTCTGGGTCTCTGGCACTCTTAGCTCACACTTATGTGATGGCCACACAACTCTCTAAGACCTTGAGGCCCAGGCCCTATAGGGAGGACATGCTTTGTGATGCAATATAGCATCTGTGACCATGCTATATGGCATCATCTCTCATCTGTTCAGCCTCCAGCCTTTGGCTCCAAGCAGCCAGAGATCTAGAGATGCCAGGCAAGCACCTTCCACTTGGGAAATTCATGTGCCTACTTTTGCCTACCTCAGCCTATCAGATGCCTAGCCCCTCATCTCCATGTGCCAACAGTTTCTCCCTCTACTGTTCTACCAGACCTGGGCCTGAGAGGGAGGAGGCAGGTTGCACATGTGTGACTTTGTAGATCCTGCTTTGCTGTGTAGGTGTCAAATTTATGCTGGTAAATTCCTGGAGGAACAGCAGAGTGAGTATGCACTCCAGGCTGCAAAGACTAATAGTCTTTTGACCATGCAGTAGAAGCAGCCTGTAAAATACTGTTTTTCAACTTTCTTCCATTGCATTACTTAGTGGCTTCTCGTTCTCCACTATGATCAAGAGTTCTATACTGAGAGCTTCTTAGGTATCTTTGAGGAATCATGCAAAGAACTAGATGGGGAATTGTTTATAAGAGCTGCACAGAAATTCAAATTTAGTATTCATTGTCAGATCTCTAATCATTAAGCATATGTTCCTGGTTTTCAAATTTTACTCCGTACAAAGAGCATATATAGAGCTGAAGAGCTCTCAGCAGTTAAAAGCACTTGTTGAAAACCCATGTTCAGTTCCCAGCCCCTATGTGGTGGTTCACAACTGTAGCACTAATCCCAAGGGATCTGATACCCTCTTCTGACCTTCTCAGTCACCAGGCACACATGTGGTGCACAGAAATATTTCCAGTCAAAACACTCAAACTCATAAAATAATAAATTAGTAAATCTAGAAGAATTGAAGCAATTAGGGAAGTCTTGGCACCACAAATAAAATCAGAGGGCCTAGAAGCAGGGTCAAAAAAAAAAAAAAACAGGTTTTATAGTTCCCCAGTGGTGTCAATGTGCTGTCAACTTTGAGAACTGGTAGAGTGCACATTATTTTGGGGGTGTTAATGTGAGCCCAAAATCCTGCAGACTGTGTTCAAATACAAACACTAATTTGAGGATCAGGAGCCAGGCCTGGGATTCTGCATTTCAGATCACAGTTTGAGTAAGAAGATAATGACTTGTGACAATCCTCAACCTCATACCTCTAGCCTAATTATATTTTCTCAGTTGTCTACAAGAACAATTATTGAATTGATTTCTTCTGTGTCATTTATATTATTCCCAAGGATAGACATGTTTTACAGTATGTCTTCTGCTGCTAGTGTCTCATTCACTTAAGCTGTTTCCCTAAATGAAACTTTGTCCTTTATAAATTAATTTCAAAAGCAGTAGAGGAATTAATAAAAAATTAATGTTTAGTTTTAAATATACAGAGTAAGTCTGCTATCCAACATAGTTCCAATCTTATAAATTTATTTGTATTTTATTTTTGTTAATCTTTTCCATTAGAACTTAAAACTTTTTAAAATAATATTTATTTTCTGAATATTTCATCATTTATACAATGTATTTTGATCTGTCCACCACACATCTCACTTCCTGTTTCTGCCCAGCCATCTCACTTCCTGTCTGTCTCTACAAACCTACAGACCTCTATGGTTAGCTAGTGGCATGCTCCATTCTCTGATCTTCAGATAGGCTTTATTTGTATAAGCAAGATATTATCACAAACTACCTCTATTACATCCTTTCAACTCCCCTGGAACCCATAAATCTATTTCCTCCCAACAACATACCATCTTATATCATTATTATCATTATCATCATCATTATTAATCCCCTGAGTCCATTTGGTGCTGATCATATGTAAGGCCATCCACTGGGACATAGGCAATCTACTGATAGCCACATCCCCAAAGAAAACTTAACATTTTTATGTGGATAAATTTGTCTACCTCTTTCTTTATAGCTTCTAGCTTAACTCTTTGGTTTCATTCATATTTAAATAATGTATCAGATTATCAAATATACTCTTGAAATACATATGAGATTGTAAACTGGTACAATTATTTTAGAAAGCAAACTTGACAAAATACATTAAACTCCTAAAATCATCCATGTTGTTAATATTCGTCTCAATGATGCCAATTCAAATCATGAAACAAAAAATTTTTGGAAGTCTGACAACCATCACCCCTACACACAATTTACCTATTTCCCTCTGTGACATGAGAAACTATTATCTCGACCAGTGTCAACCTTCCTAATTCTGTGACCCTTTAATACAGTTACTCATGTTGTAGTGACCCCAAACATCTGATCCACAAACAGGGAGAAGGGAGAGAGAGAATGAGAGAATACACAGAACTAGGAATGACATGGGCTTTTGAAATCTACAAGTTCATTCCCAGTGGCACACCTCCTCCAAAAAGACCATACCTCTTAATCTCTTCCAAACACTTCCACCAACATTCAAATATATGAGCCTATGGGGGCCATTATCATTTAAACACCACAATGGGGTAGCTACTATCTCATTTTTATTTTTGCCTAGCATGGTGGTCCTTCAGTCTATTAATGATGTGGCAAATGGCAGAATCTTTCTAAGACAGAATAGTATTGCTTTGTATACCTTATTAAAGGATGCATATGTACCCCCATTTTCTTGGTTGGTTGACTCATTCAGACACTTTAGTTATTTCCAATTTAGCTATTGTGAGTAATGCTTCAATAAGAAAGGCAGTACAGAATCTTTAACAGATGGTCATTTCATCTCCTTTGGGCACATACCCAGAGAAATGGCTGCAGTGGAAAATAGTTTCAAAGTGCATAATGAAATGTAAAATAAAGCTACCATACAACTGAAGACAAGAGTGGTAGGTATAGCATGAAGTAGCCCTAGCAATGAACTCTAAAAATGGACTCAGTAAAGTATACTAGAGGATCTCTTTTTCCATAGTGTGAGGGCTAGCATCAGTCAAATAGGGACCACAAGCAAATCACCACTCGCAATTAACACAGTTTGTAAGATACTGCACTTCTTCAGAGAGTTATCTTACAACTTGATGGGAGATGTCATTCTGTAAATATGTTTCTCATTAATGAATAAAACACTGTTGGCCAATAGAAAAGCAAGATAGGCAGGACTAGGAGACAAAGAGAATTCAGGGAGAGGTAGAAGGAAATTCAACATGTAGAGACTTGAGGGAGAACAACTCCAGACCCGCTCTCCAGTAAGTTAAGGCCATGTGGAAATACTTAGATTAACAGAAATGGGTTAATATTTAACACAGAGCTAGCCAATAAGAAACACCAGTAACAGGCCAACAGCATTATATCTAATACAGAGTCTCTGCATGTTATTTGGGGCTGGTGCAATGGGGGACCAGGCAGAAAATATGCTTGTAACAACAACCTTAGCCACAAAAAACAATAAACTAATTTATGGTGTACTAGGGACATGGGATCTACAAAATTTTTACTATAATAGAGACAGATGTTTGGTCAACTCTCTCAAAGAAATGTAATAAGAACCAAGGAGGATTTTGTGTGTGTCAAGGCAAAAAGCAATTGGCATATCATGAAAACTAAGAAGGGCAGGAACCTTCCTGAAGTGTAATAAGAGTTGCTGGTGAAGGTGTTCCTGCCTAGATGCAATGCTGGTCAGAAATGGCACTGGATCCATGGACAAGAACTCTGTGTCAGATATTGAGGTGTTTCAAATCCTAAACTCATGTCAGGAGTCCCAAAGCCAGCTGTTATGCTACATTCAAGGAGCTGTGAAGAGCTGCTTCAAAATCCCTGTTTGTGCACACTGTGACAGACTCATAGGAATAGGAAGACCAGGAAATAATTGACTCTGCCATAGATCACTGAAATTGAAGTTTCCAGACCGAAAGTGTAGAAGGAACTATTAAAGACTTCCATTCTTAGTGTTCTTCCAGATAGTACTGCCACTGCCTTCCCTACCCTGGAATATCCCACCCTCCCACTTGACAATCTCATGTCTCTTAAAGGTCATTCCCAGAATCTGAGGAGGGAGACTCAGTGTCACTTGGCCTGGAAGTAGCACAATGTCTCTCTTGAGGCAGTCAATGGTGCTAAAAGTTATAAAAGCCAAAATAGGACCTGAGTGGGAACATGGGCTTCCAGGAACAGCTGAGAACAATGAAACTAAGCTACTGTTTCTTAAGCTGTCATGCTAGCCAGAAGAAAATGTTCTTGTCAGCAGTTATCAATGTCCGCAAGGGTAGAATCTCTGTCGTTTTCAGTCCAGTTCCCAACACACGCACCCACACACCATGGCCTATCTGCAATCCTCTGCAGAAGGGTTACCCACTGAGATCCAGGTCCCTGAGATGAAATCAGAAAGGAATGTAGGTGGCTACTCTCTAGAAGAATGTCTGCCTTCCTTCTTAGCATATGAATGGGATATGGAGAAATTATAGAATGATGAATGAACTACATACAAGCATGAAATGATAGAAAAGTAATGAATGATAGAAAATTAATGAATGAAACATTGAAATAAACAGTGAACTAGTTCACAGAATCTACTCAACACTCTGCACCTACAGGTAGGGTGATAATGACAATAAAGTCACCATTATTCACCACTGACAATGGTATCCATGGCAAATAGACAATACAGGAAATATTAAGCACTGTTGAGGCATCCAGAATGTTCTGTGAGATGACTTTAATTGTGTTGGTTCTAAAATAGACCTTAGACTACAGTCACCCTCAGAGGAAAGGGGACTTTGGCTACAGGTACATAGAGACCTCTGCCCCACTTAAGTTTTCACACAGGTACTGTTCAAGATGGTGAACTGAGTTATCCATGCTTGAGGCTCCAAAATATAAGTGCAGCGTGCCTGAAAAAATAACAAAGCATAAATTAGAAAAAATACAATGCATCAAGGCTATCTAGATAGTAGGGACTTGTTTTGCTCAAAATTAAGTTTTGGAAAACACTGGTAACCAAAGGGAAAGCACGATCTTCCTTGACCTTTAAAGAACTCTGAAGGCATAGGGCTGGAACCATAGAGAAGACTGCATCATAGATGAAGACCACAGGGGAATCTCCAGGTTTTCTGTGGCTAGCCAATGGGGATATGAGCAGAGGACTGCTCCAGCACTGGGAGATAGGTTCTGCCAGCTTACTATGGTTCCCTTCTGCATTCTTTCCCAAAAGATTGCTGATAGAAGGGGTTAAATTAATCTCAAACCTTTCTCTTTCCTTGGCCTTCCTGCAATGGACAATTGTCAATGTCTTCATCGTGTTTCTCACAAATTGTACGGCCCATCTCCAGGTCTATTAAATATATCAAATTATTTTTCTGTCAAAAAAGAAATTGTAAAACCATTAGAGTACCCACTATAAAAGCAAACAGAAAACGAGAAATTTCAAATAAACAGCAATAAATAGCACATAGCACATACCATCTTACTTCTCTGTTGTTTTATGGGGAGGGATTGTTTCCTGTAGGTTTTTTTTTTCTTTGTTGCTGTCATTTGACCTTTTTAGACATGGTCAGTATAGCCCAATATGACATTCAACTTTCAATCTTACTGTTCCTCAGCTTTGCAAGTGCTAGGGTTACAGGCATGCTCTTCCACAGCCTGCCTCTTTTAAATGTTTCTTTTTCAATTTTTCTTTTAATTCTACACAAAAGGTAAGTCCATTTACCTAGGTATATAGCTCAGTTGGAAAGTGTGTGCTTAACATGGTCCAAGAATGAAGTTTGATCCCCAGAGCTCCCAAATATTTACTAAGTGCAACTAAGGTAAGCATTGAGTCTCCCCCTCAGTCCCTTCCTTCATGGGTAAATACCTGCCAGTCTTATTGAAAGGGTGGTGAATATCCAGGGTGCCACATATTCACACAATCAAATCCATGGCAAAGAACATGAACATGGTAAAGCCCCACACATGACACTATAACAGTGATCAAATATTCACCCAAGCAGCATCAGAGGTACCTGCTGAGTAAATGATTCCTAAACCTGGAGTAGGACACTGGTGAGACAGCCTGCCATGAGCAGGTAGAGCAGGGAACACACCAACCCCTTTAAGTTGTTTCTTTCGTGTAGGTGCTGACTACACAGAGCACTCATGTTGCAAGTACTTAAATGAAGTGACTATCCAGTATCCCAATATTATTCTCAGTACCTATCAAAATCCTATACAAGCTACTTCCTTAAACAGAGGTGATTAAAAATTCAATAAACAAACATGGCTAAAAAAAAAAAATCTAACCAGGAAATCCTCCCAGGATGGAACACATGTCTCATTCAGAATATCTGGGAACTATCTGGAAAGATAACTCAAGGGTTCAGGAATCCAAGCAGATGACAGCAGTGTGCACTCACATCAAACACAAAGCAACAACACTCACACCCACTGCAAACCAACAACTCACTTGATCCAGACACACAACATCACAATTGTACCCAGAACCCATCAATTACACCTTCATACACAAGCCTCAGCTCACTTCAACAACATTCACACATTCGTGTTTGACACACACACTAAGCACATAAGTATTGTCTCATACATCTTGACCATCCTTGCATGTTACACACAATGATTTGGGCCTGGGGCCCCTGCCTGGGAGCAGCAGTAAAGATGGTCAAATTCTAGTAAAGGGAGCACTGTGACCTCTGGCCCAAGTCTGGAAAAATCTTAAGACATGGAATCATCAAGGACTGGAAAGAAAGTCCCAATAGCATTGTGTCCCTGGGCATGAGGGAGGTTCCCAGACCAATGATTATAGATTCATGCCACAAATCTGTGACCTTCTGGCTCAGGGATCTTCATTTAGGGGCTGCAATGTGGGATGGACACATTATTCCATTCAAAGGGAAAGGCAGAAAGGCTGACTTTAGTGGGAACACTTGCATCAACAGATGCTGATGCCACCCAAATGTATGTAGGTTTTATCAGCTTTATAGTCAGCTTTGTTGATGACAGTCACATAAGGATGTTTCAGAGCTACACCACTGGTTCATGACTACTCAGATTGCTTCATTCCATCCTCAATTCTCTTGTGTTTGTTGTTAAACAAAGGGTGTTCCTGCCCTTTAAGCTCAGAATAAAACCTAGGATCCTTCCTTGGCACCATTCACTTTCTGTCCAGATCAGCACATACCACATCTGCTCCAACACCCCCTTTGTGATAATCAAGACTACATTCTTGCTAACAAGGTCTTAAGTGTCTTGTCCAGTGGCAGTGTGTAGACCACTGCACTCAGTAAGCCTTCAATGAAAAGCTTGGTGGTTCACCTGAGGAGCACCATCCAGTGGATTCCAAATGCTACCAGCTTGACATCCTTACTGCCATGTCCTCCTTCTATGCACACCTACATCTCAGTGTTTCCTTCCCCAAGACACAAGTCATAGAGTGTAGTGAGATAGTTCTGTGGCACTGACCACGCCCATTGGGGGTGGAGCCATGGGCGGAGTGACCTGTGGAAGGAGGTCGAGGGGGCCAGGAAGGCGCTCTCTTTCTGGCGTGACTCGGACAGGAGAGGATCGGGTTGAATTTCCTGGTGTTCATCTGTCTAGGTTGTAAGTTATTTCTCCCTGAATAAACATCTATTCGGCCTATTTGTTTATCCTGATCCTTATTTTACTGCGTTAATAGAGTACCGTACATCCCGCCAGGAGATTCACATCTCCTGAGTACACTTCATTCATCCTCCTCCAGGGGTCTATCTGTGACAACCTACACTTCCACACACACACTTCCATCACTTTCTTACCTTCTTCAGCTCCCAGGACCCTGTGTCACTGCAATCACCCCACCTGGTCTACTATTTTATTCATGGATTTGAACAGGTAAGGCCACCTTACCTATGTCTTCACCTAGCATAGCACTCTGAAAGAATGGGTCCCTGTCTGACTCCACAGCTGACTGACTTCCTGAACATCATCTCAGCAGTGATATTGGTGTTATCAGCTATCCAGCATACATCTGCACCTTGCTGAGCAATGCCCACCTCATCCAGCTCCCCAGTGTCACCTTGCCACACTTGTTGCCAACTGTCTACTGTGTGGGGATTTGTTTCTTCTTATTACTGCGCCTGCCACCCTCATCACCTGTCTTTGCTGTTGTGGCTTCCTTTGGCCCTAATTCAATTCCCCTCCCCTGAACTCATATTGGGACATCGATGCCTCCCTTCTACCTTGCTTTTCAGAGGCTTCACTCACTGAGTTTTTCTAGCACCAAATTGGGCACTTTTTTTTTTTTAAAAACATTTACCAAATGAAAGCCTTGGTTTCAACTTACTGCAAACCCAGAAGTCCCCCAGTCCTGCCAAGCATGGGAATGAATGTAGGGGCCACACAGGATGAAGGCTACTTACCTCACGCTGGCTTCTCCGGACTCTCAGGAACTTGTAGGCAAAATTATCGTCCTGGTTTTCATTGAAGTGAAACACGACATACTCCACAGAAATGACAAAATACTCATCATTCTTGTTGGTTTCGATAAATTTGAAGCTGCATTCATGAATCCCCAGCACAATAAGCCCCACAAGTAGGAACACCTTCCACAACATGGCTGTCTTCAGTGTATGCACTGGGAGCTGAGAATGCATTCACTGTTGGAGAGGTGGCACAGTTGCAAATGGTGATGTCATCCCACATGGCCCTGCCCACCAGAGAGAGGCCCTGTGATGCTAAAATCCTAATTTTGACTAGGGCATCTGGCCAGTGTCATCTCTACTCCTCCACCTCATCCCTCCCTTCCTCTGAACGCAGAAGGCAGAAAAGGAGGTCACATTTTCCATACTGTGGTGACATAACCATAGGCTCATGGGCATCCGTGTAACATGCTCTTTGCCTTTACATTTCCAAGCTTGCCTCCCCCGGCCTGGGCCCACCCTGATAAGAACTGATAGGAAGTTTGGGATTCTAAGACAAACTGGCTTCCTTTTACTGCTCTGAATTCCAGAACTGACAGAGCCACAGAAACTCTCATGAGGCTAAGTACTGGGAGTTAAGAAGCCAATGCCCATGACCTTGGAGCCTCAGAGGAGCCCAGTGGGAGGGGTCAGAGTCAGGACTGGGAGATCTTCTCTACCATCTCTGCAGTAGAGTAGCCAGCTGGTCACCTCTGTCTCCTTCCCCGAAACCTGCTCCTGCCCGTGCTTTCACAACCCAGTGCTAGGTAGAATCTGAATGGGAGGCAGTGGGTCTTTAGTGGCAACCATGGGCCTAAAGGAGACACATACTAATATAGCCACACCCAGCTCTGCCACTTGGCCCTGTGCCAGACTTCTCAGGGAAAATGCTCCACAGCACCTCACTTATGGAGAAAATGGCAAGGGAACAAGTACGCCGGGAAGGTGTGAAGGTTGCCATTATGGGAAAGAATAGGAGAACTGCATCTCTGACATGGAAAGGGACAGGACTGTGGGCATGACTGTAAACGCCTTCCTGCGGCTTCCAGGTGGAAGAGATGATCTCACAAAATTGCCTGACGATGAATACTGTCTTAGTGAGGTCTCTATTGCTGTGATAAAGCAGCATGACAAAAAACAATTGGAGGAGGAAATGGTTTATTTTATCTTATAACTTGTAATTTATCATCCAGAGAAACCAGGGCAGGAAACCAAAGCAAGAACCTGAAGGCAGGAAATGACACAGAGACCATGGGTGAATGTTGTATACTGACTTGCTCCTCATAGCCTGCTCAGCCTTCTTCTTTTAGAACTCATGTGTTTATTTCTAGCACTGTCAGACAGCCTGTGCTATTCAGGGGGGCAAGGCCTTTTATCCTGTCATTTACTCCTTCCTACCACCCCTGAACCTGGGTGTGATCCCACTGCAGAATGGACACAAGTGTGAGCCTGGTTTCTGACTCAGAAACAGTGGGGAGACAGATGACTGCTCCTTGTTAGTTGTAACATTGCTGTGGTGCCTAAGCTGGTCTCCAGCTTGTGAGCTTCCAAGAGCCTCCCCCTCAACCTCCTGTATAGTGCTGATCTGTAGATGAGCACCACTATGCCTGGCTTCTGCATTCCTTATCAATGCATAGGTGAAGAGCATGGAGAAAGTAAAGAATGAATAAATATACAAATGAATGAATGAGAACACCAGTCAACCAGTAGGACCCATACATGAGCTACTTCACATGAACTGAGGAGTCTGATTTACTCAGACATCCATACCCGAGGAAGGGAAATAAAAAAAAGAACAATTGCAGCCAGGTGGTGGTGGCACATGCCTTTAATCCCAGCACTCAAGAGGCAGAGACACATGAATCTCTGTGAATTTGAGGCCAGTCTCTATAGAGCTAATTCCAGGACAGCCAGAGTTACACACACACACACACACACACACACACACACACACACACACACCAATTGCTTATCATCAAAGATGGTATCCATGGCAAGTAGACAATTCTGAAGATCCTAAGCCTTTCTCAGAGATTCAGAAGATGCTGCGAGATGCTTTTTATTGCATTAGCACTGCACAGACCTTGGACTACAGATAGCCACACTCCCAAGGAAGGGAGACTACTATGTGTAGCCAGAGCCCCAGTCCCCTTTATGTTGGCACACAGCTACTATTCAGGATGGAGAAGTAGGAAAACCAAGGTCGAGCATCTACTTGGAAAACACAGTGAACCTGAAAAAATAATCATAATAAATAAGTTAGAACATTATAATGCATTGAGATTATGCAGTATGCAATAGGTGTGATTTTAAAAAACTTTTTTCCAAAAAAAAAAAAAATGAAGATGAAATAGCCATTTTACAGGCCTCACAAACTGAACTAAAGGGTTAATAAAAAGAAGACTTGAAATTGGGAAGTGAGGGTGGATCTGAGAAGAGTCAGGGGAAAACTGGGGAGAGAATATGATCCAAATACATTGTATGAAATTCTCAAAGAAATAATACACTATTTTAAGATAAAAATAAAGTAATAAATAAATCAATAAGGAGAGAAGATAGTTCCTGTTTCCAATGAGGGATGCCTGATATGTGTCCTCATTCTGCCTGGATTGCCCCATACCTTCCCTAAACCCTGCCTCAGGCTTTGCATCATTATCTTTTCTTTCCCAAAAGGTCAGTTGTAATTGGGGATGGTTTTATTACCTAACCTTTTGTTCTCCTGAGCCTTGTAGCAATGGGCAATTATCCATGTTTTTATCATGTTTCTTACAAATTGTGCGCCCCATCTCCAAATCCATTAAAAAAATCATTGTCCATGTCTGTAGAAAATAAATTATGCAAATTATTTTTCATGACATAAATACAATAACAAGAAGAAATTCAAGTAGAAAACAAGCAAATATCTGGAATATGCATGGCTTATAAATAGGCATCTATAGGGCACATGACATCATTGTATATCAACAGAAATATGCCCATGAGAGCCACAAGACATGTACCAGTTTTTTTCTCAGTACCACCTGCTAAACTCTGGCACTCTACAGAGGCATGGAAGTATAGGATATAGCACATTCACAGGACCACAATCAAATCCTGCACAAGCAACCTGAACATACTGCAGTTATACATGGCAATGTAGTAATTCTCAAACATTCACCTGAGCAGCATGGTCCAGATTAAGAAATCCAATTAAATCAGGTTAAGAAAAGGGCCGGATTAAGTTGCTAAGCAAGTAGTTTAACTAAACCAGGAAGCAGGTACAACTCCACCTTTGCTGGGGTGTGAGGAGATCGGGGATGTATTGTCTTTCACGTGAGTGCTAGCATCATGCAAGTGTTCCCTTCTGAGATGAACTGAAATGAGTGCATAGGCACCACCCAGTTTTGAAACCCTCTCAACACAATGTGAGAAGTTGTTGAGAACGACTGTCATACCCTCAGAGATGCATGAAAACTCAGAAAGCACCAAGTAGGACATCCTCCCAGAGAAGAACATTCATCTCAGTAGATTGACATGAAAATTGCCCAAAAAGCTGCACAAATGGGGCACTTGGGAGTCTATGCAGGTAATGGTAACACCCACCCTTGCCCAACACCCACCAAATACACAACAAACCTCAACAAAACACACCAGCAGTCTTTACCTACATTTATACTTCACACATACTAAGAATACACTAGCTCCATAACATCTGTCCCACACCACCATACGATCCCATATGATGAGCGAAGCCTGCATCTCCATGGCTGTGCAGCAACTAGAGGTGATAGAATGTTTGATACCAAGGACGTCTGGGATTCAGATCCCAGCGCTAACAATAGCTCAAGACATTTAGGGGGTAAGAAAATGGGTCCTTGGTAAGGGAGGGTCTCCAGACCCATGACTGTAGAGAATGCTGCAGGCCCAGTACTCTCCTCTTCAGTCCCTGCAGATGCTCCCCCACCTCAGGTCTGTTCATGAGCAGATAATGTTCTTTCTGCACATGGACTCACCTTTTTCTGGGCTCTTCCAACTTCAAGCAACCTGTATGTATTTTCTTCTGGGTTGTTATCATTAAACTGAGCCACAGCAAACTCCACTGATGCGACAAAGTAATCTAGATCCTTAGTAATGTCTACAAATTCTTTGTCAATGGTCCATATATGAGTGCCTAGCACAGCCATTCCTACAAACAGGGACATCTTCCACAACATGATTGTCCTTTTCATCAGCCTAGGGACTGCAGACACAGTGGTAAAGAGATGAAACAGCCACAGTTGGTAACTCCCTTCTCAGCTCAGGATCCCACATAGCCCTGCCCATCAGAGAGCCCTGTGCTCCTGAATGCCTCCTTTTGTGTTTCTATCTAAGCCCTTATCTCCACTCCTCTGCTTTGTTCCTTCTCACCACCCCAAACAAAAGGCAGACAGCAAAAGGAGACATTCCCTACCCTGTCGTGACACAAACCCTGAAGTAACAAGCATCCACAAACATATATCCTCTGTATGCACATCTCCAGGTTGTCCCTGAGCCTTGCCAGGGCAGTTCCCACAGTCTAAAGGCACTGTGCCAGCCCCATTTGACCTTACACAGTGCTGGAAAGGATTCCCAGGGTTGGAAGACCTCCTGAGAAGTCTGGTGAATTCACTCCTAGAGAATGGAATCAGTTATTTCCAAGCCTGCCTATGTATGATCTTTCTTGCAACTCACACCACCAGCCAAGCTCAAGGCCAGTAGCATGGGGATGTTCATGAGATGCCACATTCCTCACTGCCCTGACCCTCTTTGATCAGCAGCTAATCTGGTTCCATTCTCTGGGTTTTCTGTGCTCATTATCAGTTCCTCTTGCTTCTAACCTGCTCACATCTCTGACATCTCTTCTGACCTCTGGGCTCTAATTACTGAACTGCTTCATTCTAATCACAACTGATTTCAAATCATCTTTTTACTTACCAACTTCTAACTCAAGTCAACCATAGTTACAGAACATCTATTCTATCTTTCCTTTCTTTGAAATACACTGAGATTTATTTTTGTTGTTATGACTGAGAAGATGACTAATATTTCCTGTGTTTTAGAAGAGTATATTGTGTTAAATCAGTTCATAGTCAGTCTGTGTTCAATAGTTTCAGAGAATCTCTGACCTGGTGTCTAATCCTTGTTCCACATTTGAAATCAGTTATTACTGAATTCACTAAGACATAGCAGAACATAGTAGAGTTACTACCTGATACTAGAATATTTCATACTTTTAGAATAATTTGATTACCATGTGTATATAGAAAAGGAAAATGCCTCCCTGAAATCCAGTCATTCATCTATAGTTAGCATATTCTCATTAGACTCAGGATCAAACCCTCAAGTCATTAATGCATAAGTAGTCAGTGTATCTTCATCAGACTCAGGATCAAGCCCCCCTATCATTAATCCATAAGTAGTTAGAGTATCCTCAGACTCAAGATCAATCCCTCTTGTCATTCATCCATAAATTGAAATTTCATGTTCAAGAAAATTAAAAACCTCAACAAAAATCCAGTTACACTAAACCTGATGAAAGAGAAAGTGGAGAATATCCTTGAGTGCATTGGCACAAAAGACTTCCTGAATTTACTCAGACTCAGGATCAAGACCTTCATAGTCATTTATCCATAAGTAATTAGTATATCCTCAGGATCAAAATTCAGTGCAGTCATTCATCAGTGGAAGACATCAAGAATTTTCTTCTTGACACTTGATTAAATACTTTTGTGTGTCTTGGGAAACTTTGCTGAAAGGGCAAGTGCTTGTTAGAAAAACATAAGCACTGGGTGATGCTACTCTTAGGTTCAAATGATTGAGGGATGAATTCTGAGGCTTTCCTTCCCTTACCTGCTTATCTACCACCACTTGCTTATGGATAAAAATCTTTGGATGTTCATGTTCTATTTAGAGATAGTCCTAATCCCTGGGTCTCAAAGTGACTGAGTGTTTCTATTTAAGAAGTCTAGAAGAACTAAAATAACAACACACTGAGAAATCAGGGAAACAACACTCTTCACCATAGCCACAAAAAATATAAAAGATCTTGGGCATCTCTAACCAAGCAAATGAAAGATATGTATGACATATTTTTGAAGAAAGAAATTGGAGAAGATACCAGGAGATGGAAAGATCTCCCATGCTCATTGGTTGGTAGCATTAACATAATAAAAATGGTCATCTTACCAAAAACAATCCCCATCAAATTTCCAACCAAATTATTTACAGACTTTGAATGAATAGTCAACTTCATATGGAAAAAGAAAAATCTCAAAATTGCTTAAAAAAATTATCCTGCACAATAAAAGAACTGACAGCAGTATCACAATCTCTGATCCCAAGCTCTCCAACAGAGCTACAGTAATAAAAACGGCATTGTAGCACCATAAAAAACAAACACGATGAATGGAATTGAGTCAAAGGCCAAGACATAAATCCACACACCTATGGACACTTGATTTTTTGGTGAAGAAGCCAAAATTATACAATGGAGAAAAAGAAGCATCTTCAACAAATGGTGCTGGCATAACAGGTAGAAAAATAAAATAAATGCAAATCTATTACCCTGCACTAAACTCAAATCCAAGTGGATCAAATATGCCAATATAAATCCAGTTGCACTGAACCTGGTAGAAGGAGAAAGCAGGAAATAGCCCTGAATGCATTAATACAGGAGACAACTTCCTGGATAGAACACCAGTAGCACAGGCACTTAGACTAACAATTAATAAATGGGACCTCATGAATCTGAAAATCTTCTGCAAGGACACTGTCAGTAGGACAAAATGGCATCCTACAGAATGGAAAAAGATCTTCTCCCTTTCCACATCTGACAAATGGCTGATTTTTGAAAGATATAAAGAACTCAAGAAACTAGACATCAAAAAAACAAATAATCCAATTTAAAATGTAGCACAGACCTTACGGTAGTTCAAAAATAGTTGACAACCATAATCTCATAAGGAGTGGCACTATTAGGAGATGTAGCTTTATTGAAGTGGGTATGGCCTTATTGGAGGAAGTGTCTATCACTGTTGGAGTGGCCTTTGAGGTTTCCTATACCCAGGACACCACCCAGTGTCTCAGTCAATTTCCTGTTGTCTACAAGAGGTAGAACTCTCAGCTACTACTCTAGCACCACATCTGCTTGCATTCCCCAGGCTCCCTGTTGTGATGATAATGGACTGAGCTCTGAAACTGTAAGCTAGTTACCCCCAATTTAATGTTTTCCTTATAAGAGTGTCCATGATGATGGTGACTCTTTATAAATAGAAACTCCAACTAAAACAGACCTGAACAGATAATTCTCAACAAAAGAATCTCAAATGACAGAGAAACACTTAAATGTTCAAAATCCTTAGCCATTAGGGAAATGCAAATCAAAGCAACTGTGAGATTCCTCTTACACCTGTCAGAATGACTAAGATCAAAAATACAAATGACTGCTCATGCTGGAGAGAATGTGGAGCAAGAGGAACATTCTTCCATTGCTGGTGGAAGTGCAAACTTGTATAGTCACTTTGGAACTCAATATTGCAGTTTCTCAGATGTTGGGGCCCATAAAGGTGGTTCCACTTCATCTTGGCTTGTAAGGATGGAAAAATACAGCCTAACTCTCCAATGACCCCAGGAAGCTAGAAGCTTAAAAATACGAAATACCTTACATTCCAGACCCTCAGTCAGTAAATAAGTGAAAGGTCACACTTCTTGCAGCTTAACCTGACTTTGTAAACTGCTTGTGAAACCCCCTCCCCAGTGACCTAACCTAACTGCTATTTGTCACTGCACCTAGGAGCCCGCACAAATGCAGACCTCCAGGGCTATAGAAAACTGATTGGTCTATAAAGGGGGGCTTGGATGGTTTAAATTGATTGGTCCGCACCTCGCGGGATGCTATGAGATGATTGGTTTATGATGTGTGGGCTTTGTTGTAACCCTATAAAAGCTGTCTCAATTCTGTACTCAGGGTCCTCAGTCCTCTACCCTGCTTGGCACATGACTGTGGACCCCAGTGCACTTGGAATATAAAAGACCTCATGCTTTTACATCAAGACCACTTCTCGAGTGATTTTGGGGAGTTGCCTTTCCTGAGTGGGAGTGTGAAGGTCCACACTCTGTGGGTCTTTCAGGCTCAAGGTCAGAAAGTTCAAAACTGTCCTTAGTCTTCCAAGGTTAAAGTCAAAAGACCTAAAGGTCTGAGGCATGGCTACTGTAGGATGTTTTGATCTTGGTAGTGGATGTCTTATCTAAATAACAACAGACTTGATCTGAAATGTGGTTACTCTTGACCCTCAAGGCTGGATATGGAGAAATTGAGTCTAAAGTGTGGTTGCCAAATGTTTGGAGGATTAAGGGGGAAATATCTGTTTATTTCTTATACATGATAAAGAAGTCTTCTTCCATGTCCCACTTTTGGTTGGGATACTCTAGAATATTGAAGAATAAGCTTGGGGTGTCTAGTATTCACTGGATTTCCCTCCTGACTCTATCCTGTGTCTGTCTTATTCTTAGCATTTTTACCTGCTATTTTTCAATCCACACTCCCCACTCAGGTACAAACTGGGCAAGTCAGCTCAATATGACTGAAGCCCCCCAAAAACAGGCTACTACAAATAGCTACAACTCTCAGAAAATTGGGAATGGATCTACCTCATATACCACTCTTGAGCATATGCCCAAAAGATGCACAATCTTACCACAAAGACATAGTAAAAGATGAAAACATATGAACATAGCAGCTTTATTTGTAATAGCCAGAACCTGGAAACAACCTAGATGCTCCTCAACTGAAGAACGGATGAAGAAAATGTGGAACATTTACACAATGGAGTATTGCTCAGCTGTTAAAAGCAATGACATCATGAAAGTTGAAGGCAAATGGATGCCATTAGGAAAAAAATATCATCTTGAGTGAGGTAACCCAGACCCAGAAAGATAAACATGGTATGCACTCACTCATAAATGGTTATTAACTATAAAATAAAGGACCATGATATAAATTCGCATATCCAGAGAGTCTAGGTAACAAGGAGGGCCCAAAGGGGTATGCATGGATCTCCCTGGAAAGGAGAAATAAATGAGATTTCCTTAGGTGTACTAGGGTGGGTGAAGATGAACACTTGAGGGATTAGATTTGAGGTTGGGTAGAGGGAGAACAGAAAGAGATCTCTGGAAATGGGGAGGAGCTTTCAGGGTCTGGTAGAAAACTGAT